TGCGAAGGGGCGGCGGTGTCTGTGGGTGGAAGGTAGGGGGGCGACAGCAGTGGCACCTTCCGCCGGGAAACATCCCCCCGGCGCTGTGCAGGGGGCTCGTGCGGGGCCGGTTTGCTGAACTGCCGCGAAGGAAAGACGGACGAGGTAGAAGTGGGTAATTAAAACTCGCCTAATTATTGTACTGTCCTCTGTATTGCGTCAGTACCCGATAGGGTATGGTCTGATAAGAAATGCGTGCCCCTTTCTCTTTCCAGAACTCAGAAAGGTTGTAATTAATAAGCGAATAGTTTAGCAGCTAATAATAACTAATATAATAACTAATAAACTAATAGTTTAGCAGTAGGAGGTACAGGGCCGGTAGAAGAGTGATGTCTGCTAGTTTAACTGTACACAGCTTTGTTTCCAGGTTGTACATAAAGTCCAAATTAACCTGGCGTAGTCTTGGACATGAACTGTCACGTCTGGGTGCTTCTGCGGCCTCTTCTCTGACTCTTGCCCCCAGAGCACTCCTGAAGCACTTAGTGTGTAACTAACGGCAAGCTGCTTACGTATTTGCAGGTAATCGACAGCTGAGATGTCACAGGGGTTGCTGTGCAGCTCCCTCTGACAAATAGGCTGCTTCTACTGTTTTGCTTTTATTCTCAAACTCAAGGACGCTTTGCCTAAATTAGCTGCAGGCAGTGCTCTTAGTGCATAAGCTGGTGTATTGTTAAGCCTTGTGTTCTCTCCAGTCATAGAATCACTGTTTTGAACTGGGAGGGACCTTAAAGATCATCTAGTTCCAACCCCCTGCCATGGGCGGGGACACCTCCCACTAGAACAGGTTGCTCAAAGCCCTGTCCAGCCTGGCCTTGAACACTTCCAGGGATGAGGCATCCACAGCTTCTCCAGGCAATCCGTTCTGGTGTCTCACCACTCTCTTGGTAAAGTACTTCTTCCTAACTTAAAGCTACCCTCCTCTAGTTTAAAACCACTGCCCCTTGTCCTTACCACAGCCTTGTAAACAGTGCCTCCCCAGCTTTCCTGTAGCTCCCTTCAGGTACCAGAAGGCTACTGTAAGGTTTCCTTACAGCCTTCTCCAGGCTGAACAAGCCCAATTCTTTCAGCCTCTCCTAGGTTCTCCAGCCCTCTGCTCATCTTTGTGGCCCCCTCTGGACCCATTCCAACAGGTCCATGTCCTTCTTGTGATGGGGGCTCCAGAGCTGGGCACAGCACTCCAGGTTGGGTCTCACAAGAGCAGAGGGGCAGAATCACCTCTCTTGACCTGCTGGCACTTGCTGTGTATTTGCAAAGTTAGGTTTTTCCAGTAGTTTTTCCTTAAGTGACTTAAGATTTATCTTGACTGCAGAACAGATTTCCAGATGACAGACATACCTGAATTAATGTAGATAAGACCCCTGTCTTGAGTTGCTGTCTTGAAGAGTGTCAATTACAGTAGCATATAGAAGGTGCAGAGCTGTGCTTGACAAGCAGCAAGTGCAGCTCCGTACTTCTTTTGGCATGTTCCCTCTGGTTGTGTTACTTCAAGTGGAGTTCTCCCAAGGATAGGTCATGAGACAGCTAATTTGAGACTTGGCTTTACTTTCAAGTGGTTATGTTCCCTTTCAGATGTGGCCTTTAACAGTTGCTTTATCACTGACCTAACTTGGAAATTAACCAAGCACTAAATCCAGTGTTGTGCCTGATGACGTTGTGGGAAACGGGCTTCAGGCTCCCTGGTGACTCCAAAGGTCTAGCCTAGGTCACTGCATAGAGCTCAAGATGAACGGTTCTGCCTCCAGCAGCTCCTGCCTTGTTTTCCCTCCTGTCCACAGAACTGTCTCTTCTTAAACTGAATGAAATTGTGATCTTTGTACTATAATCTTGCATTAATGGCTCTTTTGCCTTTAGCATTGCAGAACTTCCTTTCTTACCCAGTTCCTAATAGGCAATCTAGTTCAGCATTTGGCAGCCTTACAGTTGATTTTTCTCCTGTTTCTGTCAGCTGGATGCATTTTACTGTTGCTGTAGGCCTTGTAATATTGTCCCTTGTTAATGCCTGCTTTTCCTGAGCCACATCTTCTCTAGATAAGGAATGTAGGTGGTGTTTTCTCCTCACCTATTTTGAGTCTCCTCCAACCCGCTTTGATGAAAGTTACTGCCTGTGATGCAATGAGAGAGGCCAAGCTTCCGTATCAGTCAGGAGGAGTGAAAGGAGATGAAAGAGAAAAGAAATGCAGCGAGTGACTTTTACCAACATTTTGGGAAATCAAACAAAAGCATTGCAAGCTTTTCCCCTTGCCCACTGACTTCCTGGATTTTTGGGACGTATTTTGAAGTTAAAGAGAAGAAGAAAAAATGGGGTGAGAAGCTCCACTCCCAAGATCTTCCTATTTCGTGGCTTTTAGTGATAGAAGAAACTTAGTCCCAGGACACTGTAACTTACAATAAAAGCCTTTTGTAAGTCTTAAGCATATTCGGGGAAAAAAAGCGGGAAGATATTTGTAGAAAATCACGCTTCCCAACCACTGTCTGCTAAGCAGTTGGAAATTTACATTCTCCGTAGTTACGAGTAGAACAGGAGTAGGGTTTCTTGTAAGACTTTTTGCTCAAGAATCTGGAGACAGCAACAGTAGAAGTTTTCATTTCCTCTGTTTGATTGCTGAGGTAGATGAATTGCAAGTCAACAGGCTGAAGAGAAGGAAAATAAGGTGTTGTATCCTTATTAAATTAGGTTTAATGTATTGAGATAGTTTTACTGTGCTCTTTGACTCACACTAGCTTGAATGCGTCAGTACAGATGAAGTTCAGATTGTGCCTAAAAGCGTTTACCTGGTTTAGCATTCAATTCTGATCTAGGCAAAAGTTCTATATAAGCAAATGGGGAATTTTCCTAAGAAGACTACAAAAAGCTGGATTCAGTTATGTTTCCTTCATATTCAAATACACTGAATAAATAGAAGCCTAAGGCATTTTGTCTCCAAGGTATTTTATCTGGATTTTGCAAAAAAGAAGCAGCTTTACAAGAGCCAGGTTTATTAAATTGAAGGTAAATGTTAATGTTCTTCCTTCTTATTGATATTGTTAGACAGCCATGAGCATGTGCTGTGTGTTTTTTGAGCATCAAATACCATTTGTCTAAACTGTGGAGGATAATTTATTAATTGATTGATTGAAGTGGAAAGGGAGGCAGAACTGAAAGCCTTCATCCAAGATTTATTTTGGACAGACCTGAAAAGCCACAGGGAAAAAAAACCAACCAAACAAACTTACTTTTTTTATTCTCCCCGTCCTGCCCCATATGGCTCTTGTGATGTAACATCTTTGACTGTTTTATTCCAAAATGAGCAGCATCTTCTACAGTTACGTACAAGTGGCATCATCATTTCTTGGGCAATCTTTGCTTTCGTGAAGACACACAGAGTGGGATCTAAACACACTCGTTAGCTGCATTAAAATGCATGAGTAGAATGTTAGAAATACTTCCACCTAGCTACTGGAAATGTCTCACCAGGTACAGAATCTGTTATCAGTCTGCTTCAAGTCCTAGGTGCCTTTAACATGTTCTTACTCTGCAGAACTGTTTAATAGTCTCTCTTGCAGCAAGATCGCTGTGTCACACCAGAACCTCACGGAATTTGAGAGTCCACAGGCCACTTAGAGCCATCAAAACTTGCTGCAGATAGCTAAGCATTTCCCCATATTACTGTATGCCCTTAGATTTAAGGAAGTGTTCTCGATGCAGGGATTAGAGATGCAGTATCGTATGCTTGCTCTGCTTTTGTTCTCCCCTCATCATCCACTTCTGTTTCAACCTGTGTCACTTACGCTGACCGGAATCACTGTGACTGCTCTTATGTTGCATTCTTATGTACTTGGTTTTGCAGAACAACCTGGGCAACAACAACCCTCTGCTTGGGACAGCGTTTCATTTTCATCTTTTGCAGGTGTCAGATATTCATATCAGTAGATTTCAGGATCCCAAACGAGCTGTGGACTTCGAAAAATTCTGTTCTGATACAATTGATGTAATTCAGCCAGCGCTTGTTCTAGCAACAGGTAAGCAATTCAAACGTGTGAATTTCCTGTTGAATGTGCTGTCAAAGGAAAAGCAAATAAGCAAAATTCTAGGATCTCAAGAGAGAATTGTAAAGCCTCAAGGTATCTTAAGTGATGGAAATGGAATTGCAGCTGAAGGTAGACTTCTAGAAGAAGAAGAGAATAACTTCTCAACTCAAGAGAATTAGTTTTGTTCAGTATTTTGAGTCTGACAGTGAGTTTAGCTTGTATTGTATGTAACAAAGACACTACATCTTAGTCCTTGCTAGCTGCTAACATCCTTCCCTCTTATCCTCCTGGTAGTGATTCTACATCATTCTTCATATCTGAAGTTATAGAAGTGAGAAGTATTTCTGATTAGCCATTAAGAGTGAGTTCCTGTCTCAGAACAATCCCTGTTCATTTGTATGAAATTGCCCTGTGAGCTCCTGTAAAGTTTCGTTGCTGGTTTCCATTTAAACATGTACCAGGGCAGGTGCAATAAACCTTGCCATTTCATTTGACAGCTCTTGTTGGTATTGAAATGGATTACGTTACATCAAGCAAATGAAAAATACTTAGAGCTAGGCTTTAGAATCTTAATGCTAGACCTGGACTTTTGTTTCTACAGGGTTGTTTCTACTTATCTGCTGCTTGCTTTTTCAGTTAAGAGTTCAGAAATAGCATTTGTCTTTTTACTAGCAATGCAGAGAGGCTTTCCTATATGAACAGAAGTGGGAATACTTTGAACTTTAATTGGAGCTCAAGGGGATGCAGAATGTGTGCAATTAAACATGTGTTACAAGGCATTTACCCTTGTAGTAACCTCTCAGACCGCATGGCAGGAACATCTGGGTTGCACACAGGAGGCCTACAGCCACTTGGGCTGGGAGGCCTGGATTGCATGCTTACCTAGTTACAGTATTTATGTCAGCTGTGTAGGCCTCTAGTTGTATCTCACCTTTGTATGCTTCCAGGTGACCTGACAGATGCTAAGACAAGAGATAAACTGGGATCTGAGCAGGTGGAAATAGAATGGAAAACTTACCAGTCAATCCTGAAGAGATCAAGAGTCATGGAAAAAACCAAGTGGATAGACATCAAAGGGAATCATGGTAAGAAGGAAGTGAAACATCTTTTTCTTTCCTGTGATTACAGAGCTCATTTAGGCAAGTTAGAGTATAGAGGTAAAGTGTTAGCACTTCCTAGCAGGTTAGTTAGAAGGGCTTGCCATCCGCGTGTCTGCTCTGCTGAGGGCACACTTCATTTACAGACACTTACTGGGGTACCAGGGAAGTAAGAGTCTTAATTTATTGCGTTTTCATTGAATTATTCGTCACAGTTGTCCCTACATTCTAAGCATTCAAACACACACTAACAGCCTTGCAGGCTGTATAATCCCGCTGTGACAGGAAGGGCAAAACTAGAAAGTCTGGTACTGGGGAAAACAGAAAGGTACATGCTGTTGTCATATACAGCCCATACTCCCATTTCCCTAAGACTTTTATTACCAGCTTTAATGGAGAGGTGGACCCCAGTTGCACTAAAAACCTCTCCAAGTTGTTGATGTTGCTACTTTAGTCTGATGCTGTTGCCACTTTAGTCTCCTGTGATGAGTTAGGTCTTTATCCTTACAGAGAAAAAAATCCAAAAAGCTTTCTGACCAAAGTGAGACACATGGTTAACTAGTAGCCACTAAATAGCAATCAGTGTTCCCGCAACAACTTTATCTTTGGATTGAATATCAAATGAGAAAACCATTCCCACTTTTAGGTCAACTGCATCAAGTATATAATGTCTTCTCTGCACAGTTAGACAGCCTGCTTGTCACTTACGTGTTTAAAATGAAATAGCTCTTCAGTGCCTGCTGAGACTGCTTTATCTCAATATTAGGAAATAAAATACTGAGGATAATGACCAACTGATCTGAAAGTTTCTTCTTTTCCCTTTTCTCTTGCTTGTAGATTCATTCAACATTCCACACCTGGATAGCGTTCAGAATTATTACAGGTACTTTATATGCTGTTATATTCAAGGTCAGACTCACTAAACAATATTCTGTTTTCAGTTACCACATATATGCTTTTTCATTGACTTTTCTCTAGTCCAGAATCATATTTGCTCTTCCCTCTATCTTTTCCATTGCTAGTTAGTAGAGCAGAATAGATTGAGAAAATAGACAATTCTTTGTTCATACTTCTTACCTCCTTCCCTCTGTGTTTGTAATTTACTTTTTGTAAATCTGCCCTCTCCTTTTTGAATGAGTAATTCTGATGGCATTCCATAGGTGACAGGAGAACTGGTAGGATTTGCTCCGTCAAGAAATAAAAAAAGGCAATAAGCAAGAGGAAATTCTGCTACTGCTGCTATTTGTAAGATTTGGTGTAGTGTCTGTGTTTTGGGTCTTTTGGAAAATAACTGAAAAGGTTCAGATTTCTTTGATTCAAAATCATATTCCATTAGCCAACAGCTGACCATTGTACATCAGAGTAACTTAAGAGATTTCTAGCAAAATAGCGGAGACAAGACTTGATGTCCTGATACTTCTAGGTAGGCAAGGAAAAAAATAATTTTGAAAAATTCTTTCGGAGACCAACAATAAACACAAGACAATGGTTTGGTTTTTTTCCTTTGCAGATCTCCTTTAATTAAGAGTCATGTGAGATCCCACTATCCTGTCATCTTGCGTATTTGTTTTGCATCATGTATGCTGCTGGGCTATCATTTATCCATAAAAAGTACCGTGTTGCTCAAGGAAAACATATTTATACTAACGGGGTTTTTAAGTGTTTGTGTGCTCACCTGCTGCTTGTCTTTACAATACACCATCTTTGAAATACAGACTTTTCAATGCCATGTTTTTTTATGAAGAGACTTTACTGCAATGACAAGATGGAACAAGATCTAAGGCAAAAAATCTGCCACTTATTCTGTGCAGGTCGTTTTTGTCATAGCTGCAAGCTTTTCTAACGGCAATATTCCCATTTTATTTTGGCAGGAAATACTCTGCCTGGCGTAAAGATGGCTCTTTCCATTACATCCACACCACCTCTTTTGGGAACTATTCATTTATCTGCGTGGATGCCACGCTCAGCCCGGGCCTGAAGAGACCCTATAATTTCTTTGGGGATTTAAACACGGTATTTTATAAGTCTTGGAATTCCATTTTGCTGGCTGTTTTACTTCTGTAGTGGAAGTCATCTTTGACTACATAAATAAGCAGTAGAAAGGATAGAAATATTGCTTACCGAAAATCTTGCTTTGCATTGCACTGTTTATGTATTCATGTTGCAAGGAAGGTGTTAAGTGTTTTGTTTTTGCTTTCTTTTTCCAACACTGGATTTTAGGGAAACGTCTAGTAGTACAGTTGTTCAGGCACAGGCCCCTGAAGCAACTGAGAGTATTCTCTGTGGGGGAAAAAAAAAAAAGAGGATGAATTGCATTCTTCGTTAGTTTCTTTCTGCTTTTCTTTTGCAATTCTTTCCAAATAGCCTGAGTATTAACCAGGTTTGGTTGGTTGGTTGGTTGCTTGTCTTTCAAACACCTGGCTGTTTCAGAATCAAATGGAAGAGCTGTCTCTGATGGCGACCAAAAGTCTGCGCAGCAATCAAACCATCTGGTTTGGCCATTTTCCCACCTCAACAATCATCTCCCCAGCCCCAGGAATACGAACACTAATGAGGTAAGATCTTCCTGTTTTTTCCCTGCATGTTTTCAGCCTGAACTACATTTCTTGCCTCTCCTCACGTACTCATTCATCACATTCCAGTGACGCACCCAAATAACCACAATTCTCATGTTATTTGATCAGCTCTGCCACAGCCTATTTATGTGGACATCTCCACACACTGGGGGGGCTGATGCCAGTCTTGCACAGTCAGCACCGTGGCGGCACTTTGGAACTCGAATTGGGAGACTGGAAGGATAATAGGAAGTAAGTAAATCCCATGTGAGCAAATTAGCGTATGGAGCATACCTGGTTGTACTGTGCTTCCCTTTATGCTGTTTGGAGAATGTGACAGGAGCATTAGATCAGCCTGACTGGTTATTACTAATAAGGCTTTTGAAAAATGCCTCTGTGTGCAAGTTTGGGATTTCTTTCACTATACCAACAGCGTGCTAATAAATTATTTTTTTATTCATTCTTGATGTTTAGAGGTTAAAAAGAAGACATTTCAATGTTCCTTTAATATGTGCTTAGTAGTCAGACAGATAAACTGTAATAAAATTCAGCATCACAACTTCAGAATACCCATGCTTTGCACCAGCTGTTAGAATTCTAGGCACAAATATAGTCTACCTGAGAAATGTTACCTCAGCAGCCTATAAAAAAGCATCTGATGCTACATGGAACTTATAGCAGTCTCTCAGCTTTTATTCTGCAGTAATCCTAGGAAAGGTTCTTGTCTACATACAGGAAGAGAGCACACTGGGCCTCTGTAACCTCCCCAGACGCTGTAGCAATGTTTATTAGATGAACATTAAATTAAAGAATTCAAATGTACCTGATTCATGTGAAGAATTCAGTAGATCTTGACACTGGGAATTTTGAGTGGTGCATCAGTGATTTGTAAGAAAATGAACCTGATCAGAGGTGACTGGCTGTGCAGTTAACAGAGTTGATTAACACAGGACCAACTACAGAAGTGAATAAATGGAAAATAAGTTCCATTTAGGAACTTGGGAAGCATGGGAATCAGCCGTGCATGGAACAGCTTGTGTGGACAGGGTGTTTTTCCTTTCATGACAGGTACCGGATCCTTGCGTTCGATCATGATCTCTTCAGCTTTGCGGATCTGAACTTTGAAGAATGGCCTGTAGTTCTCATCACCAATCCCAAATCCTTCCTTTACAGCAGTTCTGCTCATGAACCATTAGTTAAAATTCTTTATTCCACTCATATCAGGTACCCTGCAATCTCTTGATTTCACAATTTTGAACTATATTTTAATAGTTGGGATCTTTCAGGGCTATACCGTGCATTTATACTTATATTTATATACACGAAAACTTATTTTAAGAGTGTGTGTCCACTGTTCTCAGAATTCACTTTTCTCTGCAAGAAGTTCCTGAGAGGTCACTTTGCATCATATCTGTGATAAAAGGAGATTATACAGTAGTAATTCACGTTTGGTTTGTTTATGCAGTTACTTCCCCTAAAGTAAATTGAAATTCTATATGTAACCAGAACTGATGGAGTTAGATTATCATGTAATCTGTGTTACTAATCTCACATGTTCACATTGCCTCCTCTGGTTTCAGGATTTTGTCTCTGTATTTTTCTAAGTATTTTCTCTATCGGATTTGGACTTCTTAGCCTCTTGTGTTCTCAGTTTTTCGTCTTGTATATATTAAAACACCTTAAGCCCCTGCAAATTTTTATATTGCTTTTAAAGCTTTCCATCTTTCCATTTCTACCTTTTCCATTTATTTTTTTCATTTGTATTTCAAATTGCTATGCCCTTTCTAACATCTTACGTTTGCTGATAGACCAATATGCATGAAATACCTGGCTATATTC